GATATTTCGATTTGACGTATATTAATGGCATGTTCTCGATGAATATACTAGGGACATTAACTTACGAGTTTTATTAAATGAATCACATAATTTCACTTTTAATTGGACCTATCATATATTACCACATAAATTGATGCTCTAGCACCACTGTTGCTAAATAATATCATTCTATCAGCAGAGATCGTTGCTAAAAAAATGTATTTATTACACAATTTATGCCCAAAAATTATAACAAAATTAAAATTGCATTACAATTTATCTTCTGGACATATTTAATCCCCAATTCCTAACTCCACAATTTTGTGGACTAGTGAAATAAATAACACATTTTGGTAACACGTTGACATTTAATAGTGTGATATAAGATTTTTATGTTATTTTTTATTGAGAAATCTAACATTTAGCTTTCCCCATTATGAATATTACAGAAGCTTTCCCTTGAAAGCATAAGCTTCTGACTAGAAGATTTCACAAAAATAATCAATAGTAATTGCTTAAATATAACAAAATTTATGAAAGAAGTGATAAAATAAAATTAATGTCGAATTAGATTAATATCTATGTGTTGGTCATGCAGTAAAAATAAATTATAATAGTACTAGTGTGGTTTTTACTTAGTGTAACATGTTATATTATTATTATTGGCTATGGATTAATAATTGCAAAATATATAGTTAAAAGGAGTATATATAATCGAGTGTTTTTGATAAATGAACTAACATAGAGCGTGTCTGGGAGGGCTTTTTCAATCAAAAAAATTCATTTTTGAACCGTTAGAAAGCAAACTAAGCAGTCATTGTTGACTTTATTACACACAGGTGGGGCCCAACTGTTGATTCCAACGATCAATTTTTGCTTGAAATCTGGTGAAAATCCCTCACAGACACAGCCATAGGATCGAAATTTACGTGAGTCTACAAGAGCTGTCAACTTGAAAAAGCACATTATCAAGAAAATCATGGGACTTAGCCACATCACACTATGACCACACAATAGTTTACAAAAATTTACCATTCCGATATAATAATGGAAGTTTGGATTTGTTAAGTTGGGATTTGGAATAACATTTTTTAAAGTGCGTCGAATAGATTATAATTTAATTTTAATATCAGCCGGCATGTACAATTATATAGTGCTTGTGTTGTTCATGTTGTTCGGTTGAATTCAAATGCTAGTTTGAACTCACGTCAAATTCCCTTTTTGACAGATTCTTGAACAATCAAATTGCACTCTGGTATGACCAAACTTGGCACAGCTCGTGCCCATCCTTTGACTTTCATATTCACTGATTCC